ACAATAATTATTTAATTGACCTACTTCGGTCATCTAAGCGAACAAACCGCGTCAGCAATAACATAACAAAATACAACCTTCTAACATTAAGATGTTTGTAAAATAAGTATGTAAAATAAAATATCCCATTTGTATATAAGGAAACAATTTTATAATTAAAGTCAGTATTAACAAGACTATTGTGTTTTACTCAACTACCCACTAGTTTCCAAGCCTTAACTGGAGCGTGAGGCTGCGCTCCGCTAGTGGGACATTATTACAAAGATTCGGGATCCTAATTAAGATCCGACTCTTTTCACTTATGGTACCTATATACCATGGCAACACTGTTATGCACTTGAATTATCCAAGTTGCATAGTTCAGAGAAAAACCTTAAGGTTATAATAGTTATTTACGATATAAGTGGGATAAGCGCTTTATTAACGTACGCATGCGAAATTTGCAATCGCAAAAGTACGTTAATAAAGCGTTATCACACGTATATTGTACAAATTTTTATCTACGCCTCTAAATGAAAAAATAAACGGTAATTATTTTTGTCTAAGACTTAATTTAGGGTTATTTTGACATTTTGACTTTTTTATTTGATTGGTTAAAAGCAGAGAAAAACGCGTGCGTTAATGAACTTCTTATCTCACTCAAAATGAGTGGGATAAGAAGTTCTTATCTCACTGGCGTAGATAAATTTAAATTATGGCACTATGACATCAAATTAATTCCACAAATAATCTCATTAAGAACTCAGGATGAGCTCAGCAATGATTTAGCTAATGAGGTCCAGGTGATTTCACAAAAATGCATTTGATGTCCGAGTGAGCTCACGCGATGATTATCACTGAGTGATTTTTTAATGAGTCATAAATGTTATCTGGGAACCCACTCCTTTATGAGATTATTAATATACCTACCAAATATTCTTACACATATGCCTACATGTACTCGCCCAAAGATTAAAATCAGGCACAAACATTGAAAATAGAACCAATTAGACTGAGAGGCCCCACAAAGGGGGACAGGCGAAACCGCTTTCGGGACTCGTAAAAGTAACTGCAGCAAAGGCTAGAGCCAGGAGGCTCAAGGCATGAGCCAGGGCTCTGGCAAAGGCCAAAGACCTACTTTAGCGCAGGGGGGGCAAGGATCCGGGACAAAACGTAACAGATACGAGGAAAGCACCCCTGAGTCGAAGGAGGCAAGGGCCTTGACGAAAAGACCCAGGGCTTTTGGGGATAAGGGCCGCAACGCCTCGAGGTGACCATCGTGCCGGATGCTTATCCGGGGTAGTTACCTTCCTCAAGCGTCTTCAAACACAGAATCCTGGTCTCAGGACGAATCTATGGAGAACGTACCACTGAAGAAAGGATACGAACAAGGTTCTCTTGACTTTTGGGGTTGACGACGATGGCAAAGGCTCCAGCTGCGCTGGAGAAAAAGACGGCTCCAGCCGAGGAGAAAAGTAGTAATAATCTTCGAAAGGAACGCTTACACCCAGATCAGATCCGACAGAGTCAACACCAACCAACTCTGAAACACTGGACGAAGAGGTGATCGAGCTCATGGCTTAGGTGGATGTAGAGGATACACCACCAGAGACGAGGTCTGCTGCTTAGCTACTAAAGAAGACTTTTTCATGGTATCTTGGTTAGTTTAGACCCATTCATCACTAGCCTAAGACTACAATTTAAAAAATACTTTCTTTTAGTGCTGAAGCTAGAACTTAAAATCCACCTTTTTAACTACTTTTCTTTTTGGCTATAAATGAAATGTATGTTTTGAAATGCCTTAAGTTTTCTTTACTCAAGTAAGTTCTTATTCTTCTGAATAATTTGTGCATGATAAAGACTCATTTCATTAATTATTTACTATAAACTCGTTGGTATGTTCCTACTGGAAATCGCTCAAAAATTAATTAAACATATTGGTGAAATCATATTGGATTAAAAATATTACGTACAAAAAAAATATTGATGATATAATATCGATAACTTTTGCATCAAGTTTAAAACCCCCATATACATGAATTTTTCTACTAGTTTGAACCATTTAGAGGTTTTTGGACAAAAAGCTCTTTTCCACCACTGTGCGACGTACCGCAGCTCTGGGCAAGTGGAGGAAACGAATTCGTACGCGATGCACTTATCTCATTGTACGAACGAAGTTGCCATTTTCGGGTCTATCGAGGAAAAAAGAAAACCCCTTGGTGGAATTCTGACCTCGACAAGGCTCGCAAAGAAACCCGCAGGCTCTTTAACAGGGCCATGCGGTCTAAATCACCTGTGGATTGGGACAGCAGTCTCAGCCTAGGTACAAAGAACTCATAAGAAGGTCAGAGAGAATCTTGCAGGACATTCTGCGATAAGGTAGACGACCTTCCAGCAGCAACCAAGCTTTAAAATATTCTCTCATAGGATACAGGATGAGAACAGGGGTCACTAAGGCTTCCCTCCGGTGACTAACCTCGCACTTAATACACCTCTTTAGAGCCTGCCTTGTGTGGACTACGTGCCACAATTTTGGCGAACGGTTCGAGTGGTGTTTATCCCCAAGTCAGGACATTGTAACTACGAGACGGCAAAGGATTTATAGACCCATCAGTATATACTCGTTTCTTTTAAAAACCATGAAGGAACTGGTGGACAAATTTATTAGGGATAGCCCTATTGAAAATGCCATATAGAACCATATAAAAAACACGTATCTGGATTCTATATGGTTTCTATCTGGTTCAATATAGGTATTTGAAACAGGCATTTCACTATAGAACCAGATAGAAGATTACATTATAGAATCAGATAAAAACACTCTAAAACACTATAGAACCAGATAGGGAAACCTATCTGGAAATACATATAGAACAGAAACCAGATAAATCCATATACATCCCTATCTGGAAATACATATAGAACAGAAACCAGATAAATCCATATAAATCCATATACATGTCTTTATAAAGACATGTATATGGTTGTATATGGATTTATCTGGTTTCTGTTCTATATGTATTTCCAGATAGGTTTCCCTATAGGGTTGAATATGAAAATTTTTAAAATGGAAATCCATATTCAACCATATAGAATCCGTAATGTAAACCAGGACTTTCCATATAGGACCTATAAAACCATATAGAACCAGATACGTTTCCTTATCGGATTCAATATGGGTTCTATATGGCATTTTCAATAGGGAGGGCACTAAAAAAATGCTCATGCATACCAATCAACACGCCTACAGGACCGCATGTCGACGGAGACCGCTCTTTACAGCCTTTTGACAATATTTGAGAGAGGGATCTGTTCCAAAGAGATGGCTCTGGGCACGTAGCCAGATGGTGCCGGCAGGGAGGTGTATTATCGCCCTTGCTGTGGTGCCTAAAGCTGGATGGGCTACTTTGCATCCCAAACGAGGAAGGTATATACACTCAAGGCTACGTAGACGACCTCGTCACTGTCGTGGCTAGAAGGGTACCAAACACCATTAAAGAGATCATGCAAAAAGCTCTTAATAAGCTTGAAAGGTGGTGCAACGATCACGGACTCTCCATCAATCCGGATAGACCGAAGTGGTACCATTCACCAACCGAAGAAACGTAAACCTAGAAGGACTCACATTTTTCGGATCAAGACTGACCCTACCAAAATCGATAAAATATCTAGGAGTTATCATTGACTCCAGGATGACGTGGAAGGATCACGTTACCAGGGTCGTCCAGAGAGCCACTTCTATCCTATGGGCCTGCAGAAGGACCTGGGGCATACAACCCAATCATCACATACGGCCAGGGTCGAATTATAGTCCTTTGGTAGGCCCTAGGCACTGTTTATCGTAGGCGAATTTAAAAATGACTTGATTGACAGCTACACCGTGTAACTTGGGTAACATTGGGTTGCCAGATTTATTTTAAATGAATTTACCATACATACAAAATAATAATAATGCAAGTTTTTTATTATTGTTGATAGTATTTTTGTAATTAAAGTAATTTTGCACAAAATTTCCCGTCCTTTTGACAACTATTATTAATAACTTTACATTATGTTTATCATATTGTTCTAGTGTTGTGTAAAAAAATTGTTATTTACCACTACTTCACAAGAATAGAAAAACAATATAAATTGGATAAGTGAATTTAAAAAACTTGCACAAAAACTTCACTTGTTTGACATTGAATTATCCAAAAAGTTAAAAAAAAGTATTTTTTCCTTGGTCACGGACTCGTGGAGCGTGGAGCGCTCGAACTCGGCATGTTGTGGCGTTGTGGGTTGTGATTGAATCGGTTGGTCCAAGGAATGACTCCCTGAAGGCTGCGTGCTGATGGAAATACCTTCGCGGCCGGATGCTGGGTGCTGATTGCACCTCAAGTGTTGTAACAAATGCTAGTAGCGTTGTTCCTCATGGTTGGTTCAGAATGAACCCCTTGGAGCACCTGGGGCACGTGGAGATCCATTTGGTATCTTGTAACGTGGATGGAAGCGTCGGCGACGGCATCCATGACAGGTGTAACGATGAATTCCATTGAATCTTCAAATATTTCTTCCGAAAACTCGGTTCACAAATCAATCTCTTCGAAGACGATGTCCACGGAAGCCTTGGTGACGTTGTCCAAAACCAAACCTGAAGTTGGGTCAAGATTAACGTCGGAAAGTTCAGGAATGTTGTTCAACTTCGCAATCTTGGAAGCAATACGCGTAGTGGGCATCGCATAAATTTGGACAGCTTATCAAGGTTGAGTAAAAGATGGCGGCCGAGGTAGACATCTCCTCCTTGACCACTATCCTAAAAGGTCTAAAAAAAGATGAATTAATTCAAATAGTTATTAAAAAGTGTGTGGACTTCGAAAGTACAAGCGGCATAAGTCAAGCCACTTTTGAAAAACTAAAGCTTATGGTTGATAATCATCTACAAACAACAATTAGTGCAAGCCCTAGTGATTCTATAGCTGAAGTAGTTTTAAAATAGAATGAATTTCTAAAACGTGAATTAACAATTTATAAAAAAATCTGTTATGGACCTTGATTATACTGTCAATCTACAGAAGCATCAAATTGCAGAGTTAACATCTAAAACTGTAAGTAAATTATCATTAAATTCCCAGCCGACATTTAGTAGCATTGTAAAAAACGTGTATAAAAGCAGTAAACAAGAGTCAGCTGTTTTGGTTGTTCAAGCAAATGATAAAACTCTGGTCAGTAATGACATTATTGAAATTGAAAAATCAATAAATCCTAGTAAATTACAAATACAAATAAACAGCACTAAACAAATAAAAAACGGTCTTGTTATAAACTGTTGTAATGAAACCACACTTAACACTCTAAAAACCCATCTAACTGAGAAAGTTGGAGATAAATTCACTGGAAAAGAAGGAACGAAATTTAATCCTCGTTTTAAAATTTATAAAGTGCATAAATCCAGTGCCGAAGAAACAAACTTCATTCAAAACCTTATTGTGAATAACAATCTTACATGCAACTTGGAAGATATTAAAATCATATTCAAGCAGGAAAACAACACGCATGTCAACACAATTATCGAAGTCCCCCCTACTATACGTAAAACTTTTTTATATGCCGGCCGAGTTTACATTGGTGGGGAATCCTACGGTGTCACAGATAATTATGCTATTACTCGATGTTCGAATTGTTTACGCTACGGTCATAAGAAAAAAAGACTGCAAAAATACTACAACATGCCCTTCTTGTACAGAGCCACATGACGAATGTTCGACAGAAGAGAAAAAGTGTATAAATTGTTTGGAACACAATAAGCGTTTCAAGACTAAAGTGCAAACAAATCATTCCTATAAAGACCCAAATTGCCATGTTTATAAGTCCAAATTAAATTATATAATTTCCAGAACTAACTATGGTGAATAATTTAGAAAATTTAAAAATTGCGCATTTAAATATTAGATCAATTTTTACGGGTTTTAATGAATTATGCAGTTTAGTACAATTAAATCACATTTTTGCTGTTACAGAAACCTGGCTAACAGAACATGTTTCTACATCCGCTATAAATATACCAGGTTATATTTTTGTTCGCAAAGACCGCACTACCCCTGAGAGAGGTGGTGGAGTAGGTTTTTACGTAAGTTCTTCTCTTAAATACGAAGAAATAAAAATAAGCAATTCAGTTGCTTGCAGTGGTCTTGAGTTTTCTTTTATAGAAATTAAGTTGAAACAACAAAAGTTGGCAATAGGGGTTTTTTACAGACCTCCTAAAATAAATACCCTAAATAACATTGAAACAATTGATACTATTTTATCAGATCTGACACCTAGGTATGAAAATGTAATAGTTTTAGGAGACTTCAATATAAATCTTTTTAACCTAGACAACCCTCTAACCAGTTGTTTTAATTGTTTGGGTTTCACGCAAATAATTGATAAGGCAACTCGAGAAACTAATCAAACGTCAACTTTACTTGATCCTATTTTTTTAAATTGTGCGAATAAAATACATAGTTCCGGAGTCATCGACGCTTCTCAAATATCAGATCATAATCTCGTTTTTTTGCAGTTTAACTTTAAAAACTGAATCATTTAAACCGAAATTCGTTACCTATCGGAATTTTAAAAACTTTGATAATTTTAAGTTTAATTCTGGCCTAAATAGCTTGCCTTGGGATAATATTTACTATATAAATGAAATTGAAAATAAAGTTATAATTGTAACCGAGTTTATTAATCTCTTATTTGACGCACATGCTCCCCTAGTAACAAAACGAGTAACTAAACCTAAAACTCCTTGGATAACCCCAAACTTAAAATTAATTTTTAATGAAAGGGAAAAAGCTTTAAAAAAATTTCAGTCCAATAAAATCAAGAAAATTGGTTACGCTACAAGCAATTGCGAAATTTCGCTAAATCTTCTCTAAATCGAGAAAAGCAATCCTACTTGCAGTCTGAAATCTCAATCGCCAAAAGATTTGTGGAAAGGACTTAGTAATCTTAACATAAATAATAAATCAAAGTCTTCTGAGCTACCTGCATCATTAAGTAATCCAAATGCAATAAATAACTATTTTACCTCGGTTTTTAAAAAAACTAATGATTGTAACGACAGAATGTATTATAGTTCTAAACTACTCAGAAAGAATTTAAATTTTGAATTAAAATTAGCTACTGTAAATAACGTTAAAGATGCAATATTATCCCTTAAATCCAATGCTAGCGGATTAGATGGCATTTCTCTGCAGATGGTAAAATTATTTTTACCCAGAATATTAAATCACCTTACGCATATAATTAATTGTTGTATAAAAAAAGGTTACTATCCTAACTTATGGAAGGGTTCATTAATTTGTCCACTTCCAAAAAATAATAAGCCCGTGAATCTAAGCGATTTAAGACCTATAAGCCTTTTAAGCAGTCTTTCAAAAATTTTTGAAAAAATTTTAGCTATTCAAGTCACTGATTATTTTACGTCAAATAATCTTTTTCCTAAACATCAGTCTGGTTTTCGTATGGCGCATAGTACATCTGCTTCTTTGCTTAATTTACTTGATGAAATAATAAGAGGTAGAGATAAAAGGCTAGCTACTGTTTTGATATCGTTAGACTTTTCAAAAGCCTTTGATACTATTGACCAAGACTTACTTTGTGCCAAACTGCATTATTTTGGCTTTAAACAAACTTCAATAAACCTTTTTAAATCTTATTTATCTCAACGGTATCAAATTGTGTCGGTAGGAGGTGAAAGGTCTAATGCTTCAAATATAATTTCTGGAGTACCGCAAGGGTCAATTCTTGGCCCAATGTTGTTCCTGATTTATATAGCGGACTTGTTTGAGTGTGCAAATGCTCACATGCAAGGATTTGCAGATGATTCGGTATATTTATTTACCTTTGACCCAAATAATTATAATAATGTATCTGGTGATCTTACATCGATCTTTAATTATTCAAAGTCTCACAATCTAAAACTAAACGCTGATAAGACAATCACAATGTTGTTTTGTTCAGAAAATCATCGTACTCGTTTGCAGGAATCTCTTAAGTTAAAAATAGATGACATCCCTCTATCATTCTCTTTTGATATTAAGCTTTTAGGTGTTACTTTTAATAATAAACTTAATTTTAAAAGCCACGTCAGTAAATTAATTAAAAATACATATGCACGCTTAAGGGTGTTATATGCTAATAAAGATTCTTTAAATACACAAATTAGAAAACAACTATGTGAAGCACTAGTTCTGTCAAATTTTAATTATTGCCAAATCGTCTACTATCCTTTCCTGAGCAAAATTACAAAAAATCGTCTTCAAAAAGTCCAAAACAGCTGCTGTAGATTAATTTTTAACCTAAACAAGTTTGACCACATTTCTTTCAAATTTAAACAACTGGGATGGCTGAGTATTGATAACACATTTATATTTAATTATTCCACTTTTATTCGCAAAGTTATGGACTTATCACAGCCTTTTTATTTAAGAGAGAAACTTACGTTTAGAAGCGATTTGCACGTATTAAATATTCGCAATTTCAACACTTTGTCCGTTGCCCGGCATAACACCGCAATATTTCAAAAAACTTTCACGTATATAGCTTCTAAACTGCATAATTCTTATGTTAGTCTAAACGACCTAGGTTTAACCCTTTTTCGTAGGAAATTAAAAAAACTCCTATACAACTCTCAACCCTTGCGGCCTTGAGTTTACGGTGAATTTACCGTGAATTCACCGTTTGCGTGAATTCACCGTGAATACACCGTTTATGTGCAGTGAATATACCGTCCATTTGTGACATTTTTAGACGGTAATTAAACGGTGAACTCACGCTGTTTTTGCGATAAATTCACGGTGATTTCACGGTTAATTCACGGTGATTTCACGGTAAATTCACGGTGAACTCAATACATCTCACGGCTGCTTACGCAAGCGAGCTAACTATAAATAGCGTTGGGTTTCAATATTTAGTTGGAAGTGTGCGTCTGTAATGGCATAGCTGAACATTAATCCTCATCTGCTCAGTAACGAATAATGGCTAGCTATAGTCGTGTTAAACCTATAGGATATACCTACCCTTGCGGCCTTTTAGTTCACGGTTTATTCACCGTGAATTCACTGTGAATTCACCGTGAATTCACTGTGAATATACCGCCGAAATACAGTGGATTCACAATTAAAATACTGTGAAAAGTGCGTGAATTCACCGTCTAACTACCGTTTACAAATGTCACAAACAGACGGTTTATTCACGGTGAATTCACGGTGAATAAACCGTGAACTCAAGGCCGCAAGGGAAAACTAAATTATAAACCATAGTAGATCTGATATAATTACATTTTTGTTTTTTTGTAATATTCCTTATATTTTTTGCTTTATATAATTTATATAATTGATTGATTTTTTTTTATTTTGTAAATTTTGGTTAAGTGGAAGAGTGATGTGAAATCAAACTTCGCCATTTTGAAATGTATATGTGAGTGTATATATTACCAAATAAAGACGTTTATTATTATTATTATTATTATTTGCCAGACCTATTGCTGGTTGATAAGATCGGTAACTTCTCCATTGGCAGCTACTGACACCAACCGGGATACAAAATACGTGCGTTGCCTCGCAACCTGTTGCAATTTGTATGCTCTGGCAAGAACATTCTTTCCAATCGTAATTTCTTTATGTTTGATTTACTCATGGTAATATTGTTTACAAAAAGTTAAATTAAATAGTAAATTCGAATCTTTCGAATTTTAATTCAAAATAAATTCAATCAATTGAATTCAAATAAAAAATAACTTTAGTTCTACGAACGGTTTTTAAATATCAAAACAAAAATGATTGAATTTTTTATTTTATTTTTTCATTTTTATTAGATGCCAAATTATGTTATTAAGTGAAACCGATTAGTTTTTTGCTTAAAAATGTTCAATTAATAAAAAAAATAAATTAAACAAAATTAAGTGAAACCAATTAATTTTTTAAACATTTATTCACAAAATAAAAATTGTAATAAAATAAAATTAAAGTAATGGCAATGCCATATTTGTTTAGGATTAGTTATGTTAATTTATGCCATTATGGCATAAATTAACATAACTAATCCTAAACAAATATTGAATACAAAAAAATAATCATATAATATAATTTTGACTATAATATTCAAAGCAGCTTTTCCGAGCTTATCCGGGACTAATTATTTGATTTATTATTTATCTAGACTACCAACTTTACAGTATTACCAAAATTTTTACCGGATCTATCAGGATGGTATGAAAACGACACTAAAACGTTACTTAAATAATTAAATGCATATCATGATAAAGTTTTGTTAAATTACAACAATTATGCTGGATTTATGGAGCACAAATTAACATTAAGTTAACATTAAGATTAACATTAACATTATGAAGTTAAATGAACATTATGAAGTTAAATGAACATTTACATTAACTTTAGCATTAAGTTAACATTAAGAGATGGCCAACTTTTATCTTCTTAATGATAATGTTAATTTTTATTCCTGCTGCGCAGGTTTGCGGCGCAATTTTTAAATAAACCGTGTCAGTAATGCCAACATACCCGAAAATAAAATGAAACTTACTGCTGAATGATTGATTTTTTATTCAATGATTGTGTTCTTTGGTTTATTGTTTGACGTGGAGTTTATAGTTTTCATTTATTTTACTTAACAGATGCTAAAACGGGATTAAAACAAAATTCAAACAAACCAAAAATGTTAGATGTCAAAACTACTTTAACTTATACGCATGCTTAATTTGCTACTAATTTTGCTGCATAAATACCCCCCCAATGGTATTTTTAAAAATTATTTGGAAATAAGACCTTTTGTATGAAATCATTTTTGATATGG